CCTCATCACCCACAGTATACAGTGCCCACACTGCTGTTCTCTAACATCCCCATCACCCACAGCATACAGTGCCCACACTGCTGTTCTCTATCATCCTCATCATTCACAGTATACAGTGCTCACACTGCTGTTCTCTACCATCTTCATCATTCACAGCATACAGTGCCCACACTGCTGTTCTCTATCATCCCCATCACCCACAGTATACAGTGCCCACACTGCTGTTCTCTATCATCCCCATCACCCACAGTATACAGTGCCCACACTGCTGTTCTCTAACATCCCCATCACCCACAGCATACAGTGCCCACACTGCTGTTCTCTATCATCCCCATCACCCACAGTATACAGTGCCCACACTGCTGTTCTCTATCATCCTCATCATTCACAGTATGCAGTGCCCACACTGCTGTTCTCTACCATCCTCATCACCCACAGTATACAGTGCCCACACTGCTGTTCTCTACCATCCTCATCATTCACAGTATACAATGCCCACACTGCTGTTCTCTATCATCCTCATCACCCACAGTATACAGTGCCCACACTGCTGTTCTCTATCATCCTCATCACCCACAGTATACAGTGCCCACACTGCTGTTCTCTATCATCCTCATCACCCACAGTATACAGTGCCCACACTGCTGTTCTCTATCATCCTCATCACCCACAGTATACAGTGCTCACACTGCTGTTCTCTACCATCCTCATCATTCACAGTATACAGTACCCACACTGCTGTTCTCTATCATCCTCATCATTCACAGTATACAGTGCCCACACTGCTGTTCTCTATCATCCTCATCACCCACAGTATACAGTGCCCACACTGCTGTTCTCTATCATCCTCATCATTCACAGTATACAGTGCCCACACTGCTGTTCTCTATCATCCTCATTATTCACAGTATACAGTGCCCACACTGCTGTTCTCTATCATCCTCATCATTCACAGTATACAGTGCCACACTGCTGTTCTCTATCATCCTCATCACCCACAGTATACAGTGCCCACACTGCTGTTCTCTACCATCCTCATCACCCACAGTATACAGTGCCCACACTGCTGTTCTCTATCATCCTCATCACCCACAGTATACAGTGCTCACACTGCTGTTCTCTACCATCCTCATCATTCACAGTATACAGTGCTCACACTGCTGTTCTCTATCATCCTCATCACCAACAGTATACAGTGCCCACACTGCTGTTCTCTATCATCCCCATCACCCACAGTATACAGTGCCCACACTGCTGTTCTCTATCATCCTCATCACCCACAGTATACAGTGCCCACACTGCTGTTCTCTATCATCCTCATCACCCACAGTATACAGTGCTCACACTGCTGTTCTCTATCATCCTCATCACCCACAGTATACAGTGCCCACACTGCTGTTCTCTATCATCCTCATCACACACAGTATACAGTGCCCACACTGCTGTTCTCTATCATCCTCATCACCCACAGTATACAGTGCCCACACTGCTGTTCTCTAACATCCCCATCACCCACAGCATACAGTGCCCACACTGCTGTTCTCTATCATCCTCATCATTCACAGTATACAGTGCTCACACTGCTGTTCTCTACCATCTTCATCATTCACAGCATACAGTGCCCACACTGCTGTTCTCTATCATCCCCATCACCCACAGTATACAGTGCCCACACTGCTGTTCTCTATCATCCCCATCACCCACAGTATACAGTGCCCACACTGCTGTTCTCTATCATCCCCATCACCCACAGTATACAGTGCCCACACTGCTGTTCTCTAACATCCCCATCACCCACAGCATACAGTGCCCACACTGCTGTTCTCTATCATCCCCATCACCCACAGCATACAGTGCCCACACTGCTGTTCTCTATCATCCTCATCATTCACAGTATGCAGTGCCCACACTGCTGTTCTCTACCATCCTCATCACCCACAGTATACAGTGCCCACACTGCTGTTCTCTACCATCCTCATCATTCACAGTATACAATGCCCACACTGCTGTTCTCTATCATCCTCATCACCCACAGTATACAGTGCTCACACTGCTGTTCTCTATCATCCTCATCACCCACAGTATACAGTGCCCACACTGCTGTTCTCTATCATCCTCATCACCCACAGTATACAGTGCCCACACTGCTGTTCTCTATCATCCTCATCACCCACAGTATACAGTGCTCACACTGCTGTTCTCTACCATCCTCATCATTCACAGTATACAGTACCCACACTGCTGTTCTCTATCATCCTCATCATTCACAGTATACAGTGCCCACACTGCTGTTCTCTATCATCCTCATCACCCACAGTATACAGTGCCCACACTGCTGTTCTCTATCATCCTCATCATTCACAGTATACAGTGCCCACACTGCTGTTCTCTATCATCCTCATCATTCACAGTATACAGTGCCCACACTGCTGTTCTCTATCATCCTCATCACCCACAGTATACAGTGCCCACACTGCTGTTCTCTACCATCCTCATCACCCACAGTATACAGTGCCCACACTGCTGTTCTCTATCATCCTCATCACCCACAGTATACAGTGCCCACACTGCTGTTCTCTATCATCCTCATCACCCACAGTATACAGTGTTCACACTGCTGTTCTCTATCATCCTCATCACCCACAGTATACAGTGCCCACACTGCTGTTCTCTATCATCCTCATCACCCACAGTATACAGTGCCCACACTGCTGTTCTCTATCATCCTCATCACCCACAGTATACAGTGCCCACACTGCTGTTCTCTAACATCCCCATCACCCACAGCATACAGTGCCCACACTGCTGTTCTCTATCATCCTCATCATTCACAGTATACAGTGCTCACACTGCTGTTCTCTACCATCTTCATCATTCACAGCATACAGTGCCCACACTGCTGTTCTCTATCATCCCCATCACCCACAGTATACAGTGCCCACACTGCTGTTCTCTATCATCCCCATCACCCACAGTATACAGTGCCCACACTGCTGTTCTCTATCATCCCCATCACCCACAGTATACAGTGCCCACACTGCTGTTCTCTAACATCCCCATCACCCACAGCATACAGTGCCCACACTGCTGTTCTCTATCATCCTCATCATTCACAGTATACAGTGCCCACACTGCTGTTCTCTACCATCCTCATCACCCACAGTATACAGTGCCCACACTGCTGTTCTCTATCATCCCCATCACCCACAGTATACAGTGCCCACACTGCTGTTCTCTAACATCCCCATCACCCACAGCATACAGTGCCCACACTGCTGTTCTCTACCATCTTCATCATTCACAGCATACAGTGCCCACACTGCTGTTCTCTATCATCCTCATCACCCACAGTACACAATGTTCACACTGCTGTTCTCTAACATCCCCATCACCCACAGTATACAGTGCCCACACTGCTGTTCTCTATCATCCTCATCATTCACAGTATACAGTAGCCCACACTGCTGTTCTCTACCATCCCCATCACCCACAGTATACAGTGCCCACACTGCTGTTCTCTATCATCCTCATCACCCACAGTATACAGTGCCCACACTGCTGTTCTCTATCATCCTCATCACCCACAGTATACAGTGCCCACACTGCTGTTCTCTAACATCCCCATCACCCACAGCATACAGTGCCCACACTGCTGTTCTCTACCATCTTCATCATTCACAGTATACAGTGCTCACACTGCTGTTCTCTATCATCCTCATCACCCACAGTATACAGTGCCCACACTGCTGTTCTCTATCATCCTCATCATTCACAGCATACAGTGCCCACACTGCTGTTCTCTATCATCCTCATCATTCACAGTATACAGTGCCCACACTGCTGTTCTCTACCATCCTCATCACCCACAGTATACAGTGCCCACACTGCTGTTCTCTACCATCCTCATCACCCACAGTATACAGTGCCCACACTGCTGTTCTCTATCATCCTCATCACCCACAGTATACAGTGCCCACACTGCTGTTCTCTATCATCCTCATCATTCACAGTATACAGTGCCCACACTGCTGTTCTCTATCATCCTCATCACCCACAGTACACAATGCTCACACTGCTGTTCTCTACCATCCCCATCACCCACAGTATACAGTGCCCACACTGCTGTTCTCTACCATCTTCATCACCCACAGTATACAGTGCCCACACTGCTGTTCTCTATCATCCTCATCATTCACAGCATACAGTGCCCACACTGCTGTTCTCTATCATCCTCATCATTCACAGTATACAGTGCTCACACTGCTGTTCTCTACCATCTTCATCATTCACAGTATACAGTGCCCACACTGCTGTTCTCTATCATCCTCATCACCCACAGTATACAGTGCTCACACTGCTGTTCTCTACCATCCCCATCACCCACAGTATACAGTGCTCACACTGCTGTTTTCTGCAGTCTTAAAAAGAACAAAGCACGCCGGGCGGTGGTGGCGCACGCCTTTAATCCCAGCACTTGGGAGGCAGAGGCAGGCGGATCTTTGTGAGTTCGAGGCCAGCCTGGTCTAGAGAGCAAGATCCAGGAAAGGCGCAAAGCTGCACAGAGAAACCCTGTCTCGAAAAACCTAAAAAAAAAAAAAAAGAACAAAGCACAATTTCATCCTCTTGTCAAACTGAGTGTTCCTCCTGCCTCAGAGCACATCTGGACAGAGATCAGAAAGGGGCCCAGGAAGAAATAACAAAACATTTGCTTCCCTTCTGGTCCTCTTTGTCTAGACACACTATGTTTGGATCACCCCAAACTCTGAGTTCCCTCAAGGAAGGACCTGGGCATTCACCTCTGCATCCCCAGTTTCTATACACCACCCTGTTACTCTGGGAGGCTTCTTTGAAGCCCGTCTCCACAGCTTTTCTGGGTAAAGTGTTTTTTCTAGGTAAGGTAAAAGCTAACTCCTTCTGGGTGGACAAGCAGAACTACCATTCGCCTGTGTCTCTGAAGGTTGTTTACGTAAAGTTAGTTTGATTCAAACTCTGCTTCTTACCTGGATCAGCAGTCAAAGAACAAGGGAAAGACTGGGATTCCAGGGAACTCAAAGACTTGCTGCTGGCTCCCTGGGATGCTTCATGACCTCTGAGGTCGGATGCTGTCGGTAGATCCAAAGTGCAGCTCTCCACTGACTGGCTGCTGGATGTGTCTGCCTGGGGTTCCATAGGCCTGCAAGGCAAAGTCAAACAATCCACATCACAAGCTGTGCAGCAAGAGCTACCCTCGACTACAGCCTGAGGAGTCCTGAAGACCAGCCACTCTCTTCCCCTAAGACATGGGGTTTCTTCTCCTTTGACCCAGTGTTTGGACGCCAAGTTCCCTTAACTGTGAGACAAGACAGACTTTCACCTGAGAAAAATCAACTTCAGCCAGAAGCTAAGCATGACGGCAAACATCTGTAATTCCAAAACTCAGGAGGCTGACATAGAAGGATTCCAAGTTTGAGGGCAGCCTGGGCTAAGCAGCAAGACTGCTTCAAAACAAACGAACAGTAACAACAACAGCAACATATAAATATAATTTCAGCTGGGAAAGGAGGCTGAATATTGGAATATGGTAAGAGCACTAGCTGTGCTTCCAGAGGACCTGGGTTCAATTCCAGCACCTACATGGTGGCTCACAAAACTAAAACCATTTGTAACTCCAGTTCCAGGGGAACTGGTCTAAGGGCAGTTCGTGAATGCAGTACACATATACACATAAAAATAAATTTAAAACACCCATATACAAAAAAAAAAATAATAATAAAATTAAAAAACAAATAAACCAAGAAAACCCTAGTGTTTCCCTTCCTGGTTTTGAACCCGTGGGGTACCGGATTCTCCACGCGAAGTCCCTTGCAGCACACCCACTTCTGTCCATCTCTCTCATGAGTTGCTCACAGCAATCAGCTTTATAGTAGCCAGTACCCGACGCTAGGTTGTCACAAGCCTCCATGCACCATCCAGAGGTTGTGCGTGTACAGTCTTGCTTGCACACTTAGCAGCTGGAAAGCAGAGGGGCTGACAGGACCGGAGCCTGTTCAGTGCTGGCCACAGGCAATCCCAGGAGCCACAGAGACTCACACCCTGCAGTAGTCTAAGTAATGGAGGAGGCTGTATGAGATAGGCCTATGAGTCAAGGGTAAGGGAGATTAAGAACACAGTTAAAGCTGGGAGGTGGTGCACACCGTTAATCCCAACATTTGGGAGGCAGAGGCAGGTGGATTACTGTGAGTTCAAGGCCAGCTTGGCCTCAGAGTTAGTGCCAGGATAGCCAGGGCTACACACAGAAACCCTGTCTCAAACAACTGAAAAACTAAAAAAACCAAACCAAACCAAACAAACAAACAAAAAATAAGAACTAAAAGGAGACCAGAACTTAATAACTGAATGAAAGGAGAAAGGCATTGAGGAGGACTGGAAGTCAATTAGAAGAGACAGTTTGTGTGCCATGGCTGTGTTATCAAGGGAGTCAAGAGAAGATAAGATAGAGTTTTGGAAGAAAGCATTATTTCAAATCAAGGAATACTACACAACTGTTAGAATGATAGAACTAACAAAAAAAAAGAATAAAATGGTAGAACTTGAAAGATCTCAAAGACATACGTTTAATGGAAGAGGCAATTTCAGGATAATATGAGCAGTGTAACAAGGCCAGATCACCTTTGTCAAGTGTATAGTAGATCTGACCCCTAGGCCAAGTGCTTCACCTCCAGTGACCCCCTGGAGCAGATACTCCTGTCATTACCCTCATTCATAGTTAGACACAGACAAGGCAGGAAGCACACAAAGCTGCCCAAAGAAACACATGAAAAGCTGCTCCCACTGAATGAGCCCAGCTTGAAGGCCCCCAGCCTCCGGAGTCCGAGCAGCCCCAGGACTGATCAGGCAAAGGCAGCACGTGTACAAACCAACACAGCCACCTGGCAAGGACACCCAGTCACAGGCTTCGGACACTTGCTCAGGCAGAGGATCAGCCCAGGTATCAGCTGATCATTCCTAAAAGGAGTGGAAAGATAAGGTTCCCCAAAACAGAACATCCTGTCTCTCCGCCTCTCCACAGGCGTTCTGACAGCTAAGCAACCTTGCAGCTTCAGCTGGGACCTCTGCCTGGCATCTCTGGCTTCAGCTTGGTTACATAACCTCAGGCAGGAGGCTTGTGGAAGGAGTGAAAGGTCACAGATGAGACCAGTAGATTCTGCCTGCCTTCAACGAACATCAAACTGATGTCATTAATGAAAGGGATCCCTGATGTGATAGTTTTGCTTTGGGTTTTGAATCGCTTGCATTAAAGGCCCCAAATTCCAAGCTGAGCACTGTGCCAAAACAAAGTGAAAAACCCTGCGGAAGGCAGAACCCTTCACTTTATAAAGTAAGTATATGCACGTCTGCTTCTAGACACACTGTCTGAGAGTCAGTGACTGTGCACAAGAGAAAGCAATGGGGCAGAAGGAAAGCGGGGATTGAACCCGGGTCCTCAGCACACCAGACATGTGCCTTACCATGAAACTACACTCCTAGCCCTACATAATGAACTTACATAGTTCCTCTTCTGAAAAAAAGAAGGAAAGACAGACAGGGAGAAAAGACGGCACAAGAATACCATCCACATTAACACCACAAGAAAACCACAATCATGTGTCACAAACACACATACAGGAGTCCTCCACAGAACATCAACAGTGTACACGAAGGCTATGGCTCCAGACTGGAGGTGTGGCTCTGATATACTCAGAGGCCTGTGTACCCTCCCACAGTCCCCCTCTCCCCCGACCCAGGACTAGATGGAACTAACCCCCAAAATGCAAAATTATTTTATGTTAAAAACAATTTTATTCATTCTTTTGGTTTGTTTATTTTTAGACAGAGTTTCGTGTATCTGGGGCTGGCTTTGAACTTGCTGTGTAGCTGAGGATGACATTGAACTTCTGACTCTCTTATTTCCACCTCTGACTTGTTGGGATTACAGGTGTGTGCCTGGTTTGTGTGGCAAATCCAAGGCTTTGTTGATGGTAAGTGAGCAGTCTACTAACTCTACTAACGGAGCTACATCCTCAGCCCTCGGAGTTATTTTAACCTCTGCCAATCCATCTGTATATCCCATTAATAATAAAGGATAAACCCACAAAAGATACATGTAAACTTTTGACAAATACCATTACTCAATAAGATAGGAATGGAAAGCATCTTCTTCAACCTTATAAAAAGTGGTTTTGAAAATCCATAGTAAGGATGGTCAGTAAGGCCAGCTAAATGCTTTCTTCTTGAAATCTCAGGAGCAAAACAGGGATGTCTAAGCTTATCCTTTCTAGTCAATGTTGTGCTGGAAGTTTTAGATGGCACAATTAGACAAGAAAATGAAATTAAAGGTGTCCAGATTGGAAAGAGAACCACAAAATTATCCCCATTAACAGGACACAGGGGCAGGGGATGCAGCTTGATGGTAAAGCACTTGCCTAGCAAGGACCAGGCTCTGGGTTCAACCTCAGGGCAAAAACCAAACAAACCCAGAAGACATGATCTTATTCAGAAAACCTTAAGGAATCCACAAAATAAATTAAAAAATAAACAAGTTACACAAGGTTGCAAGATTCAACCAACACACATACAATCACTTATATTTACATACATTAGTAACCAACAACTTCAAAGGTGAATTAGAACCCATTTATAAAAGCATAGAAATGAGCCGGGTAGTGGTGGTGCATGCCTTTAATCACAGCACTCGGGAGGCAGAGCCAGGTGGATCTCTGTGAGTTCGAGGCCAGCCTGGTCTACAGAGCGAGATCCAGGACAGGCACCAAAATTACACGGAGAAATCCTGTCTCGGAAAAACAAACAACAACAAAAAACGCATAGAAATAAAACAGGACTGTATTAAGTAAGCTTAAGGAAGACATTCCGTGTTCATGCATCAGAAGAAGCCAGTATCTTAAGATGGTACTATTCACCAGGGGTGGTGACATATGCCTTTAGTCCCAGCAAAGGCAGGCCCATCTCCGTGAGTCTGAAGCCAGCTGACCTCATAGAAAGTTCCTGTCCAGTCATGGCTACATAGTAAGACCCTGTTCTGAAGTGAAATAAAACAAAATAAGATAAAATAAAATAAATGATGCTATTCGAGCCTAAACTAACCTAAAAAAAAAACAACAGAAATCAGTGCAAGCCAGATGTGGTCGCACACTCTTGTGATCCCAGTGTCTGGGGACACACAAGCAGGAGGACCTTGAATTTGGGGCCAGCCTGGACTATTGTAGCAAGACGTTGTCTCAAAAGGCCAAACAAAAGAAACCTCTATAGTAGTGAACCATAGTAGTGGCATAAAGACAGTGAAAGAGAATAGTTACCCCGAAGAAAAATCACACTGATAGGCGGTTGGAGGAGTGCTTTGGAAAATAGGAAGGTCTTGATCAACAGAAAAATAAAAATATGCAATAGGTTTCTAAACAGTTATGCATTTTTTTAGCATTAAAGGAACGCAATTCTCTCAAGTCCCAAACAAGCCTTACAAATCCCTGGCCAAAGAAGCTAGTCACAAACTGTTTGATTCCGTTTATACAGCATGCAAATTAGACAACCATGGAGGCAGTACTCTGGTCACAGCCCAGGACTGGGGTGGGGGCAGGTGGGGGCAGAGCGACGCTCCGGGTTCAGAACTATGTTCCTCAGAACTTTTCTTTGGGGTGATGAAAACAGTCCAAGGTTGTGATAACTTGCAGTTTACAGTTTAGACTTTATGAAAACATCCAGTTACAATATGGCTGTTTAAAATTATAATAGACCTGGGCCTGTTTATCCCAGCAGAGGCAGCAAGATCTGTTAACTCCAGACCATACTGATCCACATAGTGAGTTTCAGGACAGCCAGGGCTATGTAGACAGAGACCCTGTCTCAAAACGCAAAACCAACAAGACAACAATAATTTAAGATGTTAAAATAGAAAAATAATTGGAACTAATCCTTTCCCCGGCCCCACTGCTAAATTCTAGAGCCAGGTAAGAAGGGCGCGGTGGGCGGGGCTTGGGCGCAGGGGCCGGGCAGGTGCCGGGCAACCTCGTGGAATAAAGTGTCGCGAGAGTCGCTCCTCCCTTCCCTCCTCGTTTCCCTGCTCCCTTCCCAAGACACTCCAGAATGGAGGAGAAAACCGGCAGAGATTCCTCCTCCAGGCCCGTGTCACTCACCCCACCACAGCAAGAGCCCGGAACCGGAAGCGCCGGCTCCATCTTTGTTGTGGAAAAAGTGAAGTTTAAAAGGAAGTAGTCTTTGCTGAGGTCAGAAAAGGGCAAAGCAAGGCAGCTGCGGCCATCTTAACTGAGGGCATTTGCCTGTCCCCTGCAGCATGCGGGTCATCTGGGCAGTTTCTAGTTGCTGTTAAGTGCGCTTGGTGGGCACCAAAGGAACTGGAAAACTGTTAGCATGAAAAATGTCTTTAAAAGAATGTAAAAAAGAAGACAACCGGCCTTGGAAGTCCACTCTGAACCCCAGCCCTGGGGAGGAGGTTGAGTGAGGCAGGAAGATCATGATCTCTAAGGCCAACAAGATACTCTCAAACAGCATGAAAGAAACTATTTTAATATTGTTGCATGGATTCTGTACAGGCTAGAATTTCAGAGCCACACAAAAAGACAAGAAGGGGACTGACTATTGAAAGATAAAATTCGAAGGGCTGAGGATATGGCTTAGCCACAGAGCATGCGAACTCTTATCTGGGTAGGTGAGGTCCTAAATTCAATCTCTGATACCTCCACCCCCTCTCAAAAGGAAACAGTCAAAACAAACACAGCCTAGAGCTGCCCAAGAGTCCTAGAGCAATGTGGGTCTGCTTACAGGGAGACAGAAAGGAAAGCCCACGTTCTGGGGTACTGTCTTTATAGGTTTAAACAGAGGGGATTGCATTTCTCCACTGGCCGTGGTCACCTGGAACTGTTGAGAAAGCAAGCTTGTCTCCCAGCTCATCTAAGTGGCACTTGGCACAACAGACTCCATTTTGGTTTGGTCCTGGCCACTAGTTAAACAATCTGCTTAACTAGACTGAGGACAGTTTTCTCCCCACTGTGTTCTTGAAGGAGTCCTATATAGTCACAGCCTCTTTTGGATGAGACCCCACACATTAGAAGTCCTACACTGCTGTGGGATGGTCTGTATGTCAAATATGTTGCTGATTGGTCAATGAATAAATCACTGATTGGCAGTGGCCAGGCAGGAAGTATAGGCGGGACTAACAGAGAGGAGAATTGGGAGAACAGGAAGCTGGGTGGGGGAGACACTGCCAGCCGCGATCAGGACAAGGAAGATGTAAAGTACCGGTAAGCCACAAGCCACGTGGCAAGGTATAGATTAATAGAAATGGATTAATTTAAGCTGTAAGAACAGTTAACAAGAAGCCTGCCACGCCATACAGTTTGTAACCAATATAAGTCTCTGTGTTTACTTGGTTGGGTCTGAATGGCTGTGGAACTGGCGGGTGTCAGAGATTTGTCCTGACTGTGGGCCAGGCAGGAAAACTCTAGCTACACTACACTTTAGAGAAATGTCTTTAAAAATGGTGTGCTCAAGGGTCTAGAGAGATGGTTTAGCAGTTAAGAGCACTGGCTGCACTTCCAGAGGACCTGGGTTCAGTTCCCAGCATCCACATGGCAGCTAACAACCTTTTGTAAACCCAGGTCTAGGGGATCCAGTGCCCTCTTTTGGTCTCCCAAGGCACACACATGGTGCACAGACATACATGCAAGCAAAACACCCATACACATAACATTTAAAATAGTTTTTAAAATAGCACTTGAACCCATTGTGGTGTGCATGTCTTTAAAATCCATCACTCAGACGGGCGGTGGTGACACACACCTTTAATCCCCGCACTCTGGCGGCAGAGCCAGGTGGATCTCTGTGAGTTCCAGGCCAGCCTGGTCTACAGAGTAAGTTCCAGGAAAGGCGCCAAAGCTACACAGAGAAACCCTGTCTGGAAGAAGAAGAAAAAAAAAATCTACCACTCAAGAGGCAGAAGCAGGCTGTTCTGTATGAATTCAAGGCTATCCGAGTCTAAATATCTATTCCAGGCAGTCAGGGATAGATAATGAGACCCTGTCTCCAAAAGGAAAAAGAAAAAAAAGGAAAAGAAGCAAGTAGTGCTTGAGATTTGGGCATTCAAACACTACATACTGTGAAAATGTGTACAAACATAAAGACCTCCTCACTACCACCCCTGGCCCTCCACCTACACACTGATTATATGTTTCTTTTAAATACTCCATGCTTGTTCTTTCTCAACCTGAATTTTTCTTCATCACAGCTTCATTCCTTATTAACATTCTTCTCTCCCTTCCGATCTTTGTGATATTTCAGACCTCAGCTTTAGAGAGTTCTCCCTCCCGGAACCTCCTCTGGCTCGTCCAATGGGAGTTAACTGTTCCTCCCAGGAGACCTTACTTTCTTCTACTTATCCCATTAAATTCTTTTGCTCTTTCTTCATTTCCCACAGAACAGTGTCTGTCTCTAGGGCAAGGACCAGGTCTATGTTTTGCATACCTCTCTCCAGACCCCAGTTCAGTGACTCAGGTTGATATGCTGCTGTGGTCAGGAATGGGTGACTAGTCCCTCCCCGGGTGGCCCTCTTTTCCCATCCACACCTGACTCAGCAATTACGCTCAGACATGACTTTCTCACCTGTTCTCAGTGAAGCAAAAACATGCAGCCTTTTGCCATTATCACCTTCGATTGGAAAACAATACATGCGTCTACTTTGCCACTCACGTGTTTTGATGCCATTTTTCCATGGTGAGGCTTGCTTCTCTTGTGGTGCTTCCTGGAGCAAAGTTCTGAAGTCTAGATGATGCTGTTTACCCTGTAGCCTGCTCCTGACCATCCTCTTCTACCACTTCCCGGGCACCAGAAATGAAAACCGATTGAAGTGGCCATCAAAGCAAAATCTTAAGTTGAGTATAGTGCATGTCCCAACACTCAAAAGGCTGAAGTGGGAGAATGACTTGAGTCTTGCCTGGAGCATTCTATCTCCAAACAGAAAAGGGAAAACCACAATGAATCTTAAAAATCGGCAAAATAGAGTGTGTTAGTTAAGTGTGGTGGTGTAGGCCTGTAATCTCAGCATTTAGAAGGCTGAAGCAGGAGGAGTGTGAGTTCCAGGCCAGCCTGGGCTACATCATGAGAGTTACAGATGGTTGTAAGATACCATGTCGGTGCTGGGAATCAAGGGAGGGTCCTCTGCCAGAGCAACCAGTGCTCTTAACCACTCATCCATCTCTCCAGCCCTGATCCCCAGTTCTTTTGCCATTGTTTATAGAAAGGCTATATAAGTTGAGTTACATCACAGTTTTATACTTGTATGTTTTTAAGATTTTATTTTTAGTTATTATGTATTTATGTGTATGTGAGTATGGGTTTGTGCACTTGAGTGTAGTGCCTGAGAATGTCAGAAAACAGAGTCAGATGCCCTGGAACTGGAGTTACAGGTGGTTGTGAGCTGCCTGATGTGGGTGCTGGGAAATGGACTTAGGTCCTCTTATAGAGCGGTACATGCTCTTGACCACTGAGTCATCTCTCAAGCTGCTGTATTTGTATTTTATGACTAATTATCTGCCAAGAGCTAAGCCACCTACTCCAGCCAAGTGTCTTTCAGCAGGGAAAAAAATCATTTAGCTAAAAGACCAAAATAGCTCTTTCAAAACAGGGTGAGGTCCTTTGAAACTATCTTATCTCTGTGTCATGTTGAACTTTGACCTACCTAATTACTCTCATTTGTGAAATTAGCCTTAAGAAAGGGGAAAGGAAATGTGGTGATATATTGCTTGTAATCTAAGAAATATAAAGCTTGCCTGAAGATCAGAGGACAGAGCTGGCCACAGAGTTAGCCAGAGCGGTCAGGTAGTGGTGGCACACACCTTTAACTCCAGCACTGGTGATCACACGCCTTTAATCCCAGCACTAGGAAGGGTGAGGCAGGAAGTGATACGGCTGGGCAGAGAAAGGAGTATAAGGCAGAGGACAGGAACTCAGGTCTTTTCAGGCTCTTGCAGGCTGAGGAGTCGTTAAGAGGTGGCTGTTCTGCTTCTCTGATCTTTCAACTTTCACCCTGATATCTGGCTCTGGGTTTTTATTAAGACCAATTAGGATTCATGCACCAATAAAAGTTCAAGGGTCAAGTAATAATGAATCTGAAAGCATATTATTGCTGTTTCAATCTTGCAATAATGTAAAGAGATAATTAGATAATAAGTTGACACTTAAACTACGGTGAAAGAGACTGAGGTTCCCAGCTAGATGTATAGATCTCTGAGGGTAGTTCAAGTTTTATTTCCCAGTGGATTCTCAGCACGTAATGTCTAAGTCAGCAGCACCTTAAATATTTATAAGTTACAAAAGGTTGGACTGTGAAAGTGAGAAGAATTACTAACACAAATCTAGTCAAGTGGCAAATACTCTGAAAACATTCTATACTGGCAAAAACTACAGTTCATTTCCTGGCACCCAAGGCTGTGAGGCCATAGCAAGTAGTGAGCCTATTGCCGAGTCTGATGGCTAATAACTGGTTATCAACAGGATCTAGAATCACCTAATGAGAAGCCTCTGGGCAAGCCTGGGAGGAATCTCCTATGCTTATTCATTGGGGCGAGAAGATCCACCTTAACTGTGTACTATTCCATGGACTGGACTCACAGACTGAACACAGAGGAGAAAGTGGGCTAGCACCCATCACGATGCTCTGCTCCCTGGCTATAGATGCATGTGCTGCACCTGCTGCTGTGTTTTTCCAGCTGTGCTGGACTGTACTCTTGGGAACTGTCAGTCAAAATAAACCTTCCTCCCTTAATTTGGTTCTTGTCAAATATTTTTT